GATTTATTTGGAAATATTTCCTGAAAGTTATTAGTAATTATCAAAGGAATTAAAGGGCAAAATGGTCATTTGATAAGAAAGATATTTTTCTTTCTTTGATAAATATGAATCACGTGGGGGTGGGGGAGAGTTATATGAAAACTCTCTTCTTCTTCTTCCTATCCTCCCGTATCTCCAAGCTCAAAGGTGAGTTTTCTATTTAGTTAATTTCTGGTTAAATTTAAGGTTGGGTTATGATCATTAGATGATAATTAAGCTTAAGGAAAGCTTAATTTGTTCTAAAACAACAAGATGAAATGTATATAAGAGATTAAAGAAAATATGGTTTTAGATGAATTTCTGGAAAAGAGTTAATAAGTGAATTTTGAGAAGAAATTTGACTTGTCATCACTAAGAATAAGAGATTTATGAAGTTAGAAAGGATTAATAACAAAGTTGAAAGTTTAGTAAGATTCTTAATTTTAAGAATCATGATGAGATATGGAAGATAAAGATGGCTTCTATAGATATAAGTTGGTTTAAGTAATGGTAGTTGAGTTTAATGGCATGATATGGGCTTAAAATACAAGAATTGAGTGAAGAGTTGACGATTTTTCGGACTTAAAAAGTGATTTTCTGGGCAAGGGGTATCGGTACCCATTCAATAGGTACCGATACACTCTTAAACGAAATTTACAGATTGTAATAGGGGTACCGATAGCCTAGGGGGAGGTACCGGTACCACCCTAAGAGAAAATAGAATTAAGCTTTTCGTTTAGTTCAAGAAATGAAAGTAAAACTTTCTTTAGTTCAAGAAAGGAAAGATTAGAGTATATCAATTGGAATATTGATATGGATATATGTATTTTTATGTAGATATAGAACGTAATCCCGTTCCGGAACAATCAAAGAATTAGAATCAAGTCAAAGTAAGCAAGGCTAAGGTGAGTGCATACTAGTTGTAAATGATGTGTATGGAAATACGACTCGCGACGAGTCTAATTTTAATATTTGATTGCATAAATATATGAATGTTAGTATATGTGATTGACATGATTATTATGTATGCATGAACACATTGATGAGAAACTAAGAGTTTTATATGTTATATGAGATGAACATAAGAGGTTATGTGAAATGAACTAGGTGACTATATGAACATATGAAAATATGACCAAGAGCCATGTGATATGAGAAATATGATAATGAAATATGAGAATCCATAAGAGTATTAAATGATATGTGATAAAAACCATGAGCTTATAAGAATATGTGATATAAATGTGTTATGTGATGTATGAGAAACATATGTGAATAAGAGATGATAATGATATACATGTCATATGAACAAGAGAACTGTTATAAGCTAAGTGATATATGCTTATGAAATCCTATGAAAAGTGAAATGTACATGTGAATATGTGAAATGATATGAAAGAGAATGCCCATGTTATATGATATGAGAGCTATAGGTATAGTTGGCATGCCAAGAGTCGAGGGTTACCTATGTCTTTCTGGACATACGGACATGATTACCTATGTCTTTCGGGACATATGGACAAAATTACCTATGTCTTTAGGGACATATGGACATAATTACCTATGTCTTTCGGGACATATAGACAGTTACCTATGTTCTTAGGAACATATGGATAGGTCTTTCGGGACATTTATACGAGTTGTGATGACAGCATATGTGTGACAACCTCAGTGTACTCACATACCTTGAGTTCTCAACAATGTACATGAGCCTATAAAAGATATCAAAAGTGTTTGCATTATTATATGATATACTGTTATTATTGTTTACAATGACTGACAAGTGTACCATGGGCTATTTAAAGAGATAACACAAATATAATATATGTGATGTATATGCTTTCGATGATATGAAATGTTACAGAAATTATATGATGATGTGTGTAATGTTTGGTTAAGAATGTTAGATACAAGAGCATATGACTAAGGGATTAAGGATAATGCTAAGAAGGTAAATGATGATATAAGTGCAGGTATGCAGTGGTTCTATGATAGGATATATGTTTTTATATGATATGATAGTATCAATTATTTATGCATTGATATGAGTAGAGTAATGTTACATGTTTTTATGCCTCATTAAGTCATCGACTTAGCGTGTGATTGTTTCATACGTAAGTTTGGAAAGCGAAAAAGAGAAGCAAAGAGGAACAAGACATTTCAGTTCTCCTTACCGAAGATCAAATCAGAAATGTAGTTGAATTACATGTATTTTGTTACATAGAATTTAGTTGGCATGTAATATAAAAGATTTGAATCTGATATGCTCTGATCGAGTTTTGTAATGTTTTAAACGTATTTATGTAAATGGTAAATGTATAGTTATGGAAGTGTTAAGTATTTTGTGAGTTTTATATGTTTCGCCGAAGTTACTGTAGCAAGAGTATCGGTACACTGTAGCAAGAGTATCGGTACACTGTAGCAGGGTATTGGTACTATTGTTTTATTATGGAAAATTTTAACATTCGGTACTGTTCACGATACTGTTCATTACAATTCACGGTAATGTTCATTACTGTTCATATAGTATAATACTGTTCATACCGAATATTAATGTTCATAAAAATGTTTTTGACTTAAATTTTTATAATGAAACATAATTTAATTGTATATTATTGTATTTCTTAATATAAGTCCAAATGATATGCTATTTTGTAAAAGTAAAGGTTTTGAAATGTCAATGTGACATCTTGGACTCATATCCGGGTCGGATACAGGTTGGGGTGTTACAGAGTAAATTGTATTGGGGAATGGTGAAATGTACTCTTAAAATATTAGGGTTCATTTGTTTCTAAAAAAATATTTTTTTTTATTTTTTTTTTAGAAAATAGTTTTCATTTTCAATTTTTTAAAAATATTTTCTAAAAATTAGAAAACATGTTCGATTAATATAAATGAAAACTTGAATTCAAAACTAATACTAAAAATATATTTGGTATCTAATTTTTTAAAATAAATAATAATAATTATTAAATAATTAAATTAGATTATAATTATTAAAAATCATTACATAAATATAACATATGAGCTATACAAGTATAAAAAATAATTTTGATAAGAAATTTCAAACACAAATTTTATTTTAGTTTATAATAAGAATATAATGTTAATGCATATTAAATGTTAATTAAATTTTAAAAATACACACAAATACTATTATAAGTAATAGCACACAAAAGTGTCATTAACATAAAATGTTTAGTGGTAAATGAGATTTTCAAACTTCGGGGGAAAATAATCAGTGTAGTCCTTGAACTTTTTTTTGCACTAAATATGATCGTTAAACTTAGAGAAAAACTTGATCTAACCCTTTGAACAACATAATCAAACGTTAATTGTCACGACGTTTACATGACAATTCAAAAACTTACATGTTAATCTACAATATTAATGTGACAGTTCAAAAACTTATATGATAATCTACAATATTGATGTGACAGTTCAAAAACTTACATGATAATCTACAATATTGATGTGACAGTTCACAATTCTATTGTGACAATACATGATGGATGATAATGCGATAGATGCACTTAATTGATTATTTTAGAAAAATTGAGAACTTATTAATTTTTTAAAATTAAAACTTTATTTAAATTAAAAATATAATTATAAACAATTATTAAGATATTTAATAAATTAAACATAAAAATAATATAAAATTAAATTATTAAAAAAATAATTTAAGAATTACATTGAGCGTAAAAAAATTTTAGGGACCACATTGATTTTTTTACAAAAGTTTGATCAATTCATATACCATTAAATCAAAAAATTATTGTTAGAATGATTTAAACATATGCGTGTTAATTTAAAAATCTAGATATAATATTTCTTTATTTTTTGAATTTTTAAAACAACTTTAATAAAAATATTAATTTTTTATATTTTCACTTATTTTTTTATTTTTCATAAATATTTTTTAGTTTTACTATAAATTAGGTTTGTAAATGAACTGAACGTTCAGCGAACCGTTCATGAACCGTGCGGCGGGAAGTTCGTTTATGTGCGTTTATTTATTAAATGAATGAACATGAACACGATTTTGTGTTCGTTTAATTAAATGAACGAACATGAACATAGGTCTTGTTCGTTCATTTACGTTCGTGAACGTTCGGTTATGTTTGTTCGGTTATGTTCGTTTATGTTCGTTCGGTTATGTTTGTTTATGTTCATTCATTTATGTTTAACTCAATCTTCTTAAATCAATTTTGGTGACCAATTTGTAAGTATCTTAAAAATATTAATTAATTGATATTCTGATGACCAACTCCATAATTAACCCAATTTTATTTGGAGATTAAATCTAATATGTTAACCCGTGAGGCACCTGCACCTATATTCATTTTCCCCCTTTTTCACAAACCCTAGTGTTCACTGGAGAGTGGAGATGATAGTTGAAAGCTTCAAAACAAGTTATATATTCAAACATTTCATCACTGCTAATAAGCTCTTACGCTATTTATCACTGTAGATTTGGTTGATTTGCATTGTCGACTATTTTTCATGAAAGAACAATGGAAGGTATGGTCTCCAACGTTTATGTTCGTGTTCATTTATGTTCATGTTCGTGTTCGTTTATGTTCGTTTATTATTAAATGAACGAACATGAACAAGTTATATTCATTAATAAACGAATATGAACAAAAAAAATTTGTTCGTTTATGTTCGTTTATTTATTAAATGAACGAATATGAACATATTTCCGTTCGTGTGCGTTCGATTCGTTTACAGGCCTAACTATAAACATATTTTCTTTAATATTTTTTTATAAAAAATCTATATTTTCTAAAACCTAACGGACTTTAGTATTCGACTATTCTACGATCGAGCAGACTCAAACTCACTGACACTCTCACTGCCATCGACCAAATAAATACCCATTCCACGTTCAAATTTGTATTGTTCAAGCTGATTTCTTTAGCCCTCAACCTTTATACTTCCGGCTAATTTACTCAAACATTAAACATATCATTTTCGACAATTTCCCCTCTTTTCTGCGTTTGTACTTATTTTCTGTCATTTTTCTCGAAGACCGTAATTTGTTTGTGAAAATTCCTGAACAAGAACCTGCTTTTAATTTGAATATTTTAAGAATTAAGATCCTAAAGCTGTACCATTTCTTGTCGCAGTGTTGATCCTAGGCGTCATGTTTCTTCGTCGGCTTGCTGTGATAGTTCCTCGATCTACAAGGTTCTTCAGCAGTAAAGATAGCCTTGACCTTGCACGCACCATAGCTGAATTCAATAAGGTATTGTCAATACCTTCTTATTAATTAAAGGGAAGGTAATTGATTAACATTTGGTTGTTATTTTGCATTACCGTGTGAATGTAAAAAAAAATGGTACAAGTCAATTGCTTGTTCGTTAATTATCATTGCGGCAACATGAAATTTATTGAACTGAAACCATTAGGATTTGTTTGTTTTTATTTGATTCGATATATGCAACTCAAGCCCCGGTTTATTGTCCTTTTTTTGTGTGTGTGTGTGTGTTTCTATGACAAGTACAATGATTAGATCCACTACAATTATTTTGCTCTCGAGAGAAACAATAATGCACGCGTTTATGTCCAAATTCTGGTTTCAGGAAATGGAATCGGTCTTTGGCGATCTTCCTCCAGATGGACTAGACAATTCTGGAAATAGAAGTTCTCTGGCTCAAGAATCCCAACATAATTCTCATTTGCATTTGATCTCTACTAACGATAAGTTTACAGCACAAGAACTTCACTCTATATCTCATAATTTAGGTGAAAAAGCACCTGGTTTGACCCATGTTAGTAGCACAGAGAAAGCACAAATGGTGGATGTCTCACCCAAAGAAAATAGTAGTAGAACTGCTATTGCTAGTTGCAAGTTACTTCTGGGGAAGAAGGTGTTCGATTTGGTCTTGGCCAACCAGATGGCTAAGGGAGATGTTCTCACTGTGGCAAAAATTGCTGGCATAAATGGAGCGAAGCACACTAGCACTCTCATCCCACTATGTCACAACATCGCTTTGGCTAATGTCTCTGTTGACCTAAGACTCAATCCTGAGGATTTTAGTGTTGACATAAAAGGAGAAGCAGCTAGCACAGGTAAAACTGGGGTTGAGATGGAATCAATGACAGCCGTGAGTATAACAGGATTAACAGTGTATGACATGTGCAAGGCTGCTTCAAAAGATATCCAAATCACAGATATACGGCTTGAGCGCAAAACTGGCGGGAAGAGTGGATACTGGTGCAGGGAGGAATAAGATTTTGAGACACTGCTGCCAAATGTTATGGAGATCAGTAATTTAGTGAATATTCACATTTCTCTTTTAACCATGAAACTTGGTGGCATATTTCATGTTTCCATAGTCACTTACAATATAAGCAGGCATGTTAACGTACAACCAATATACAATTCTAAGCCAATCTTACTCGTGCTACTTTTTGGACTTTGTAATTCTAAAATGTCTGCATGCTCTACATTATTCCTAAATTTTTAACCACCTATGAACCTATTTGATAAAAAATATTATTTTTTTCACCTTTTTGGAAGGCTATTAATTGTTAAGTATTGATTTGTATGGTTATAGAACGAATAAAGTAGATAGAGATATAGATGTTAGTTTAATAGTTGAACCTTTTTTGATCTGCAAGAGGCTTATTAAGTGGAAAGCATAAATTTCTACATTTAGCTCCTGCATGCTTCTACTGCTAAGAGGCAATTGCCCCATGCAACTAGTCTGGGAACAGCAAGGGATGTGAGGTACAAATATTCAAGGTATTTCCGATCCTTAATTCTACGGATTATTTACAAGTTGCCTGCTGCATGTAAGTGCATTTAAATTTAACGGTAAAATGGAAAGTTAGCCTCTAGGGGTTAATACTGTAACAATTAGAAGTTTTCCTTTTTAAGTAACAATTAGAACTTAAGATGACCTAACTTCTCTTTTTCTTGGGTCCACTGAGACCCAACTTAGCGGAATAATTTTTTCCCATTCTAGCTTGCAGAACTCTTTGCTTGATTGCTGCATCTAAAGATGAATTTTAACTCAGATGTTTGCTTCAATTAGTTAGATTCTTCTCATTAAAGTTTACTTTAGGATGTTATTAGATAGCATTATACACTATCATTAATTCCCCTCCCCCTCCCCCGCCTTGCAAGTCTGCAAGCAAAGGTGAAATCCGTAGCCCATTTGCTTTTTAATAGCTTTTACATGATGCATATAGATTTTTTCTTAGGCAACTACTATCTGATTGGAAACTAGCATTCAACTTTCATGGCATGAGCATGTTGTATTTTGTCACTAATTGGTTGAATTGGATGACAATGACATCATGGACTTTAAACACTGGCATTTTCTTTTTAAATTTCATGTAGAGAAAAGCTAAGGCATGCCCCAGGTATAATTTACTCTATCTTTAGTGTCTTTGATTTGCCTTAATAATGTCTTTGTTCTGTAATTTCTTATAACCTCCTCAACTTTTGCATCCTTTCAGGTTTTCATCTTCCTTTTGGCTTTTTAGAACACCACTCAGTTAAAATTTATGCAAGGGGGAAAGTTAGTGCTTACTCATGCCACTGTGCTTATCCCCTTATGAAACAATGGATATTCTTTGAAGTAGTTGTGAGGTTCCTTATCCTTCTCTTCCCTATTCCCACCTCCTTTAATTTCATTAAGTTCCTTCTACTGTCATAACGTCTATCTGCTAATGCAACCCCCTTCTTTAGATATATTCAATATAAATTCATGTCAGTAACCAAGTTGTGTATCTTCATGTTGCATCCATTCTATTGTTCAAAGTATAAATTTAGTGGTTGATTTATGACTTTATGTTAATTCTGACAAAAGGACCATATCAGAACCTTCATAAATATTTCTCCAAATTCACATTTATTTGTTATCCGATTCAAACAGAGGTGGGTATGAATCAGTATATAATGTCCTGTGGAAATCAATGTGGTATGGTGAAAACATAACACGCATTATTCTTAAAGATAGAAAGAGATGTGCATTTATGAGACATAGCTGCCATGCCATTCTACTACTAGGTTTTGCAGCCTATTCAGGCGTTTACTTCCTTTATCCATTGCTTGTGAAGTTAAGTTTTGGTCATTTATTTCTTCATCTACTGGAGAATCCAATAACTCGGTTAGCTCTTCTTCATACAGGGCTTTCGCTGTTATTTTGAAAAACAAGATGCTTAAGAAACATGCTTGTTCCTTCCTTATGTTTTGAGTTCTTGGACTCTGATTATATCTGTTGTGCTCATAGGATTCATTCTTAAATTTCATATTGAAAAAACATAGCTTCAACTGTCATCATTTGGACAATGCATCTCTAATGTATAGTTTTTGTGATTGAAAAATGAGAACAATAGTGTAAATAACTGTATTTTACCCTGTAGAAGCTGCTCAACTGGACTGGTAGATTGAAGGTGTAGTGATGGAAGAGACAGGCACTCTTCTACTGTCTTGGTTTACCATGGTTGATGGCATTGGCTGCTGTGCTATAAATAGTATATATTGTTAAATCAACCAATCAGCCAAGCTACAAAGTGAAAGTTGGATCAAGCTGGCAGCTGGCAGGCACGATCCACTAGGAGTTTATTATTTTAGGGTAAATTATGTGTTTAGTATTTAAATTATCAGTTTTGGTTCGTTTTAGTGCCTAAATTTTCTATTTTTTTAAAAATCATACTTAACTTTTAGTTTTTGTTTTATTTTACTGTTAAAAACTTAACGACAATGCATTTTTTATGGATAACTTATGTCATCCATCATTCAATTATCTTCTCATTTGTATTTTGGTACTAAAGTTTAAAAATTTTCAATTTAACTACTCAAATTTTAAATTATTCTTATTTTAATCACTCTAATTTATTTTATTAATTATTTTTGTGACATTATATTTTTTATTATCATTTTATCAATATATAATTAAAAATAAAAAAAACTAAAATTGAAAATTGAGCGATTAAAAAAATAATTAGTATGCTGTAAAATATTGAAAATTGCAATCTAATCGAGTTTCGCTATCGATTCCTTCCCTCCATGAATAAATACGTTGAGTTCTTTATCTTGTAGGGTAGTAAAAGAGACAATGGAATAATACTGTAGATGAATGAGAGTATGGGTTTGATAAGTGAATTACACTGATTTGATTTTAACTAAAAGGATGTATCTGATTAATTTGATTAGGGCTTATGTCGTAGATTGAGAAGTTGTTACTGATTAACTGTAATGGTAGGGATAATAGAGTTATAAGATTTGAAGAAAAGATAAAGTTAAGTTAATCAAGTATGATATGGATCTGGATGTGGTTGTGTATTCTGATCATATAGATATGATACAGGCAAGAAAATAAGTATAAGCGATATGAAAGAGTTATGAGTATGAACGAAAGATATGATTTATGTTACTAGAGCTCCACAGTCCGAGGGTGGAATCGAAATCTGATACCAATAAAGTAACCCCTCTAAATCTAACCTAAAATGACTTGAGTCGAATCTAGAGAGTCGCGTTAAAATTTGTCCTTCACGAAACCGTTTTTTATTTATAAATTCAAAACATCTATTTAAAACTTATGAGCATTTATCAACTCCAAACTTTAATAAATATTATCTAGAATAAAAGTCTGAGGAAATCCGATATAAATAATAAATAATTAAAATATGTAAAACAATAAAAAATTAATAATATTGTCTGAAGTCTCAAATACAAGTAATAAAGTTAATCCCAAAATATTATAAGCAAAGTCTAAGAAAGAAAAGTCAAAAACATTCTTACTGAAATAAAGTTTTTATCTGAACGTTGATTATGAGCTTCCAAGTATCGATTCTCCTAAGTACAAAAATCTCGAATCTAGAGAGTCATATTAAAACTTATCCTTCACGAAACCATTTTTTATTTATAACTTCAAAACATCCCTTTAAAATCTAGGAGCATTTATCAACTCCAAACTTTAATAAATATTATCTAGAATAAAAGTATGAGGAAATATGAAATAAATAATAGATAATTAAAACGTGTAAAACAATAAAAAAAATTAATAATATTGTTCGAAGTCTCAAATACAAGTAATAAAGGTAATCCCAAAATATTATAAGCAAAGTCCGATAAAGAAAAGTCAAATAAAATTCTTACTGAAATTAAGTTTTTATCTAAATGTTGATTGAGATTCTCCAAGTACCGATTCTCCTAAGTACAAAAATCTCGAAAGAAGAAACTATGGGGGAGTAAGCTATAAAGCTTAGTGTGTCTCTAAAGTGTAACAAACACAATTAACAACACAATTCGAATCAATCAATATTAATCATAGTCTAAGTTAACAGTGATAATAAAAAATTTGAATGTTATGCAAATGCTTATGCACCCACTCAAACTCCTGTCACATCATCCGAAGAGCGGGTTCCTCAAAACCGCATCATCAACAATCAAACCACACTATCAACAATCAAACCACACCATATGAAGTGGGGTTTACCACAAAGGTAAAGGACACTAAATCCGAAAGTGACTTTCATTCCGTTGAATGAATGCACTAAACTTATTCTATCAAAATTTGTCTCAATATGACATGCAAAATGACATACAAATTTATTATCTGATCCGATCTGAATAACACATATTCGAGTAACATATATATGAATTTTGATATGATCCGAATATAACAACTACATATACAAATAATCCGACTGCATCTCATAAATTTTGAGTCCAACATATCAACATAATTCACATAGCATTTTCTGAATAAAATATCATACAATCAATAATCACAAATTAATCATACTCTCATGTTAAAAAAAAAATAGGTGAAACAATCAAAACAACACAGAGAATTTAGCACTGAGCGGAGACACACCACGATAAAATAACTAACAATGGTCGTAGTCTATCACGATTAACCCGCGTAGTGGATCAATCCGAACCAGTTCTTACGAATTAATTTAACAAATAAATAAATTTATTAAATAAAAAACAAAATAACTAAAAATAACAACTATCAATCACACTCAACACGAGAAATACAGTTGGGTTTGAAGTTCACGGGTAATAGCGAAAAAGGTTGTAACTCAGTTTTCGGTTCAAAATTTCCTGCAAAATTTACAACATCCTAATAAAATTTCATATTGATAATTCCATATTACAAAATAACATTTAGAGACGAAATTAAAATTATTTCCGACTCGAACGGGAATCTGGCAGCGGGTTTGGTTCGAATATAGTGATAAGCTAGATCGAAAAAATGGGACTGCCGAGGACGAACTTTACTGGAAGCAGTTCCTATCGGTTGAAAATACCACGGCCGGTCGAGTTGTAGCCTTAAAAGATCGACCACCACACGACAACGACGATAATACCTAAAACAGATCCGACAATGGCGTTAAAAGCCTCCCCACGACCGGCGAAGGTCACTGGAGCATACCACCGGCCGATTAGGCTTACCCTCGGTGAACGTCGATCTTATAAAGGCCATGAGCGGCCGA